GTAAGACTTCAAGCAAATAGATGTCTTGGTTAACAGAAAAAGAAAGACTCTGGTTTGGGCATAGCGTAATTACGGTCTTATCATGCCAAAGAGCACTCGTGGCACTTTTTCGTTTCGTATTAGTTTTGTTGGAATACCAAATTCAGACCTTACGGCATATTTGTTCTTACAGTAATTCACCCTGGTCTTGAAACCTTCTCTTTTGTCTGTTGCGGCTTGCTATTCCTCGTCGTACCAGTTGTTTTTCCAGAGTCTCTGAAATCCAACTACTTCTTGGCTGCAACAGCACATTGATCCAAGTTCAGGTTAGGGCCTCAGAATATAGCATCCCTCGTCAGAGGTTTTCTCGTGCTGGCTAAAATTTTTCTACAGTGGGACCAAAGACCCTTTTTTAGTCCACCCCCTTTATTGGAATTGGCAAGCAGCGCTCGCAAATGAGAAAGATGTTGAAGAATTTCGTTTTTATGCGGAACGATGGTACGCCTCTCCCAAAGTTTAGGTTAGATTATGTTATGTTGCCAGTCCCGAAAAGGACTCACTTAGATTTTATTTAAATTATCCCTTTGTGTTTCCTCAAGTAGAATTCCTGGAATGGTAACCAGAGATAATCTGTGCGAAGTTATGAGTAGCGTGGGGTGCCCTAAACAAAGTTCCGCATGTAGCAGGGTCCACTCGGAAAAGTTCCTCCGGAGTGTTGATGAAATACTAGCCAAGCTGTTAAGATTCTAGTCTAGTGAATAATAGGCGAATGAGGGGGATGTGATGAGATGACTCCATTTCATCCTCCAAACAGCTACGGCAATTGGGGTCTGTGACGATGTTATGTAACACCGCCTGAGAGGTTCCTAAAGGAAAATCGGCTGTAAAAATCGAAAGCTGGTGTTTAACTAGCTGCATAAGCTCCCTATACTGCTGTCAACAAGCGATCGGAAAGGCCTTGCAACTTTGCAATTCGGGCTTTTTTGCCCAGCGCTCGCTGAGCCGTCTGTAAGCCTGTCCAACCCGGAATAATGCGCAGGTCGAGAAAGGACAAAGTCTGATATGCTGATCAGCCTTGCAGCCTGGCGCTGAAATCAACTTGATTTAGAAATACCCCAAGGTGATTAAGGAAAGGAGAGGCATTCTCCGGCCAATTTCGATTATACTATGAGCGACTCTAGCGGCCTGATTTACGCGTGGCCTTTAGGGTAGATAGATATTTACAAAACAAGGCAGTACTGCCTAAAATCATAATCCCTTGGACTTTAGATGTGGTCTTCATAAAAAAGAAGAGGATTTTATCTGAGCGTTTACCGTTCCTTTTGTTGGAATTTTTTTAACTTGGCAAGTCCCAAGCCCAGCGCACAACCAGAAACTGATGCAAACTTTACGGACCACATTTTTATAACCCTTCCTCTAAGGCATTTCAGAACAAAATTAGTAGACTTCAATGGACCCGTAAGCCGAATATGTCGGATAGGCTCCATTACGCCTCCTACACACTTCGAGCCATCTGTGTGGTCGAGGTGTCCTAAAGTTTGACATTCTTCCGAGATGCTCCGAAAATTCGGTTAGCATTTTTCCAAGGCCTTATGTAACTAATCCTGGACCTTCCCGGTGCTTATTTTGTTTGCAAGTTTTCTGAAGTAGGCCTAATATCGTAAACCGCTATAACTCATGGTGCATTTACATGGTATGAATCTGTTCATAAGCCGTATGAATTTTCCTATAAAAGAAGCACCAACTCTATAAAGAAATGAATGAAAGCGATACATATTTAACATTTCTGACTTATATACTTGGCAAGTATTTTTTTTTTTTGTAAACAAGAAACAAAAAAATTTCATTTCGTGCTAACTTCGAAACTAGAAGCTAATTTTATTTTTAATGTGCTTTAAAAAAGACCTACTGCCAATAAAGTCTTGCGGTTTGCTATTTTTTCAAATGTGTCATGCTTCCATTCAAACATCTATGTGGATAAACAGTTTTTTGTTCAGAAATTGCTTGTTTCCTTTTTTTGTCTTTCATATTAAAAACGTTTGGCACAAGTTGAAAGCATAGGGATGCCGTTTTCTTTCGTTTCTCAATGCATTTTATACTTGAAAAGGCACCAAAATATGTATGCAATACTTTTACATATCGTCATTTAAAGTACAAAACCGCGCATCAAGAAAATGCAAAACCTTGTATGTGAGGTTGCCTAAATTTTATAGGAGAGAGTAAAATTTGTCATAATTCAAAACGGTTCCCTATTTTAAACTTAATTATCTCTTCTATCTCGTCTATTTATCTCTTATGTCTAAGTATCGAAATTTTAGTATAAATGATTAAGGGCTTCATGATAGGAGCTTCCGGTGCTCAAAAATCTTTTTTTGGCACAAATGTCAGTTACGAGGTTTTGCAGAACCACGATACGCGATTTTTTACTTTAAACGACGATATACAGATTGGCGCTTACACAATATGTTAGTGTTTGGCCTAGCTTCTCCTCCCATATGGGGCGTGCACCTTGATTTTGTCACACAAAGGGGAAGGGCAGTTTTACGCCGACTCCGAACGGCAATTGTATTTTGATGAGAAGCTGTTTTCATGACAGAATACACTCGGAGGTTTACTATTACCAATAGAAGAGCGAACAGCGGAGTGTATATATCGATGGCTGAGTGGAAGATCGACCTATCTCGGCAGCCAGTTCGAAAATGCCCTATCTCAGAAAACTTTTCAAAAACGCCCTACTTCAGAATTTTATTGAAAAACACTCTATCTCAGAATTTGGTTGAATAACGCCCTATTTCATAATCCGGTTCAAAAACGCCCTATCTCAAACGAAAATACATTGAAAATAAGCTGAGATAGGGCGTTTTTGAATCGGCAGCTAAGATCGGGTGTTTTCAATAAAATTCTGAAGTAGGGCATTCTTGAAAAGTTTTCTGAGATAGATCGTTGTTGAAAATTTTTCTGAGATAGGGCGTTTTCGAACTGGCTGCTGATAGGTCGATCTTCCACTCAGCCATCGATATGTAATATAAATAAAAAATAATGCGAGGTTCTATAAGAAAATGTACCCAAAATTCTGGAGCAAATGAAAAAATGCTCATTGAAAATAACTCACATGTATAAATTAAATAATATAACTTAAGCGGTTACAGCGCTAAACAAAAGGAAGAGTTAGAAAAAATAGCAATGCGGTTTGAAGGAAACATAAGATCACAAAATGTTTGTTTGTTTGTCGTTAATTCTCCCAACCTTTTTAGATATGACACTCCATTCATTGCATTAGTTTGCAAATATACACTTATTGTTCTACAATGGCAAACATTTTCGTGGGATGTTTTTTCTTTAATTTCGAATTGAAAATACATTACGATCATATTGTACCGAAATAAGTGTGGTATCCCTGCATTTTGTAAAAGCCAGAAAGAAGCATCAACTGTATGAAAAAATTAAAGGGAGAAGTAGACACACCTTCTATAATTTTGACTTATATGTATATTTGGCAAGTCTTTTTGTAAACAACAAAAAATACACATTTTCATTTCTTTGCAAGCTTGGAAAATATAGGCTTATTTTTACTTAATTGTGATATAAAGCTCATTAAAATGTTGTGTAAGGTCTTGTTATCATAGTGCTTTGTATTTTCATTGTCCACCATACGTGAATTGTTTCTATTGAAAAAGATCTAGTACAAAGATTTTTTATTGTTTTGAAATTGTTTGTTTATTGTTTTTAATTTTTAAAATTCCTACATTTGACATGTATGTGAATGGCGGAGTTGCCGCTTTCCTCCTTTTCGGTGGGTTTTATATTAAAAAAGGCATCAAAATGGGAAAAAACCTCCTTGGTATCTCTGCATCTGTTAAACTTTTTATGGGAAGATGTATGAAAATCCAACTTGCTATAATTTCATATGCTTAACAGTATCACAACAGTATGTTTACAGTATCTCCCATAATTTTTCATATGAAAAAATCTATTATATGCATCCCACTCGATATCATTGAATTCCTCATAAGAACATGTAGTCCCTCTATTTTAGCTTATCAACAGTTCATATGGATTCATACCATGTAAATGCACCATTACGTTTTAGCATGTATCCCTCTTTAAAGGACCATCAAACTTATAATGGGGTTGTATTATTCTGGGCTACGCTCATTTTTTTGCCCTTTCACAAGTGATAATAAATTCGAAATCTGGCTGAATTTCCTATCAATGTCACTTTAAGAGCAGCTTTATTACTGGATATTGCCTGCTTTTATGCTCTACAGCCAAGTTAACTAAATTGGTTCACTCACTTTTGTCCACCTTTTAGCTCAGTAATTACAAAAATTGCATTAATACTTCCAAAGACCACATTTTACTGCAGCCACCCCACTGTGCGTTGTTGACTCGCTTTTCCTTCGCTTGCCTCATTTCGTGCGATGCCTTCACTTGTCGAACATTCGGCATACTCGTCACTTCTCATTCGCTTGTTTGCTCATCGTGCCACTCAGCGACTCAGCCACTTCGCCGCCGCGTTCGCGTTCGCGTTCGCATTCGCAGTTACACAGGCACACAGTGCAAAACATCGTCGTCGCTATTACAGAGCACAGAGTAGCCAAGTTCTTTGCTGGCGAAATGTTAAAAATCAATACGAGCGCAACGTTTTCGTAGAAAAGCAATCAATTTTTTCAATTATTCTCTCTATGCTTAGCAAAAGAAAAATTTTCTAAATGTAAAATTTAAGTCAATAACCAAAATAAGTAAAAAAAATAAAAATAAAAAGCAAAATCAAACGTGAATGCATTTGTGGCAACGATATAGCAAAGTAGAGGAGCACCAAGGGTGCCACCAATGCCAGCAAACGGAACAGCAGAGCCAGGAGCAGCCGCAGCAGCAGCAGCAGCAGCAAAGGAAGCAAAAAGTGCTAAGTTCTAGCTGAAACTTGAGTAGACGGTAACGCGTTACGCGAAACGTGTAATACGGCTAACGGAAAACGGTTAACGGGAGTCTTTAATATTCTTTTTTTTATTCTGTTCATCTTCTTCGAGTGCCAGCGTGCATGTGCTTGTGGCAGTACACGCGTTGCTAGTGCGTAAGCAAGTGTGAAATTAGCAGCACAGTGTGAGAAAAGAGAAATTACCACAGCTAAAAGTGGAACGAATTGCTTTTTTGTTGCAGTAATTAAGCGAAAAATTTTACAAATTAATACACAACTTCGATTTTCCCTTTCGAAACGCAAGCTTTCGATTTTTACTACGACGGCGACGGCGACGACGACCACTTCGGCTGCGTCAACCCCCCGCGCGCACACTCTACAACGCAGCCAGCGCGAAAATAAAGCAGGGAATAAGAACAACACCGCACCACCACCACCACCACTAGCACGCACAAGCCAACCACCGACCGTCCTTTCTACACAACGTCGTTTCCGCTAACCAACTCGCCCATTCGCTTGCCGTTGGCTTCGTTGTCGCGCGCGGTAGTAGGTACTACAAATTTTCGCTAAAATTTTCATGCGACTATGAAACGCAAGTCATTGCTAAATTATAAGTAATTACGGTAATTTCGTTTCTTTTCAACGCCTTTTATTGTTCCTCTTATTCCTATTGTAATCGGTCTGTGTGATTCGTCGTGTCGTCGCGCAGCAGCAGCGGCGTTCGCGGTGGTTGTTTCGCGTTGGTGTGTTTGGTGGCGGTGTTAATGTTAATAAACCATAAGTGGAAATTATGGCCTCTTCGCTGTTGGGCCTCACCGATTTAATACGATTCCAATTGGAGCGCATCAAACTCGACGAACTAACCTACAAGGATGAGCTGCATTTGCTGCGCCAGCTACTGGCGCTGGATACTGCGTCGCAACAACCGCCGCACTCGGTGCTCTCGAACGGCAGTAGTCAGGAGCATAACCAGCAGCCGACGCAAGCATGCGCGCCAACGACCACCTGCACGCCAACACAAACGCAGGCAGGCGCGCAAACGCAATCACAACAGTCACACACGCAGGCGCAGACACCTTTGCGCTTGCAGGCGCCACAACACCACCAACATCAGCAGCATTTCGCGACACATTCTTCGCCGCCGCTACCGCCGCCGACGTCACAACAATCGTTGCCGCCGCTGCCGCCGCCGCCGCAGTATCAGCCGAAGTCATTGCCGCAAAATCATTATCCGCCGCCGCCGAGTCAAAGCCAGAGTCAGTGTCATCTCAGCAGCGCGCTCAGCCAGATTACCAATCCATTTCAGCACTCGATTCATAGTCACAGCCATGAACATAGCCAGAGCCAACAGAATCTCTATCCTCCCAGTCATAGTCCGGTGCAAAATCAACTCTGCTATGCGCAAAGTCAAAAGCATCGTCAAAAGCAGCGTCGATTTCAGCAGCAAAATTCCAAGCGCTCCTCACAACAAGTACAGCAGAGTCGCAGCAAGCTGCATGGACAGCCGACGGATAGCGATGGCGCAGCAACTGCTGATGAGTCCAACAATGTCGGCGGCGGCGGCGCCAACAATCACCACACATCGCCAGGTGGGGGCGGCTATAGTGGCGCCGCCTGCAATGGCGGTATTGGCGCACTGGGCAGTAGCGGTGAATTGGCCGATGAGGAGCTGGTTGGTGCAGTGGGTGGCAGCAACGGTGGTGGTGGCGGCGGCGGTGTCGGCGGCAGTGCGGCAACAAATGGCGGCGGCAGTGAGGATGGCTCCAGTGCCAGCAGCAATGCTGACCTACAAAAGGATTTCAAGTGAGTATTGTGCGAGCAACGATTTTATATGTACATATGTATTTGAGTGTCTGTATCTGTGTGTGTAGATGAACGCCTGCAGCGATAGCTAGCGGAAAAAAGCGAAAGGCTCGCATGTACATATGTACATACATATGTATATTGGTATAAAAGATGGTGAAAAGGAAAAATGCGATTGCAGTAAAATCGAACGCACTCAGAAAAAATTTTCGACACTTTCAAGTGCCAAAGCACGAATAAAATTGCTGTGCAGCAGCACTAATGACAACAACAAAACGTAGTAGGCTACTCAATGGCGGCGAAAGTTTCTGCATTGTCACACACACACACACACCAATGACATACGCGCGCGTATCTAAATGACAGCAGAGTTTTTGTGCCGCACGAGCACTTCAAAAAACATGCACAGCAGTCACACACACATACCCCTCCCCTTTCCCCTTTCGGAGTTTGCATAATTTCGTGCCAGTTTGAAAAAGTGCACATTCACACACACACACACACACAACGTACGAAAAAATTGCACTTTTTCCCAAACACAAAATTTAACTTTGCCTCGCTGGTCGCTTGCATGCCTATGCACACATACCATCTTCCATGTATTAATAAGTGTGTTCTCTACATTTTACTGCTGCTTACTTTCTTGCTTGTCTGATTTTTGTTGTTGTTGTTGTTGTTGTTGTTGTTGTGCTCGCTTCAGTTCGGCGCCCATTTTCCGTACGTTGTTGTGCTTATGGCACTTGCGCGCCCACTGATTGCAGGCCAAAAATAAGGTCACGTGTGTCCGATGTGGCACAGTGGCCCAACTTACTTACATATTTTACTAGATATATGTATGTACATATGTATACATGTATGTATGTATAAATACCAGATTACATGGAAAAATGACATGAAAGCCTTGCTTGCATTTGTTGTATTTGTATGTACATATGTATACGAAATTACAGTAAAATGACATGCAGGCAGTAAACGTTGGTGCACAGTGTTCGCTTTGCCAATAAGATTGAAGTAAAAAAAAAAACAAAAAAAAACATCAGCGCACCGAAGCCACTCTGGTAGCGCAATTTCTTTCGTTTTATACTGCTGAAATTTGTAAATAAAAATCTTGATCGCATACCTTTAGCCTTATTCCCTATCCTTGTCTTTGTCATTGTCCTTGAGTTTGTCATTGTTCTAGGGTTTATCTTTATCTTCATTTTTATATTTCCTTATTTCTAACTGTATTTTATCTGTGTCGTTATCTTTGCCTTTACAATTTTATATGTTTTATATTCATATTTGCCTTTGTTTTTATCTTTATCTGTCTCTTTATCTTTTTTATATTTTTCTTTATTTTTATGTTTATATTTATCTTTACCTTTTTCTTCGTCTTCATTTTTATTTTTATCTTTATCCTTATATTTAGCCTTATTTTTATCTTTGTCTTTGTCATTGTCTTTGACTTTATCTTTATTATTATTTTTATAAATTTTTTATCTTTAGTGGAAAATCGGATCGTCTAAGTATCCAAAAATGGAATATGTAAACGGACAAAAATCTCCATTTCAGCCACTTCTTTTTTCAGTTCCATTTTCAGATTTTTTGCTGGCTGGGTTTGAGCTTTATTGCTACCACATAGAAAAATTTATCACGATTGTTTTTAGTCTATTACTATCTGCTATTTTTCATCCGATTTGCATATATATTTATGCGCTCTGCTTTGTAAATATTTCCCGTTAAAAATGTGTATTCCACGCTATTTTCGAAGAAATAGACAATGTGTAAGACCCTTCTCTGAACCGTATTCTAGTACCTTGGTGTCATTCTAGACAGGGAGTGAAACGTTATCGACCGCTGCAGGCAGGCCGACATAGATAAAAAAAAGGGGAATATAATAAGACCCATTATCTTCTACGAGGCCACCGTCTTGTAGCCGGTGTTAAAGAAGACTCTGTTCAACGCCAAGATAGAACGCGTCAGCGTTGCCTTTTTGCCGTAATTATTTACTAAAATTATTAAATTTGTTATTTATTTATCAGATTTAGTAATTTTTGTTTCGATTTGGTAACCTTTTCGATTCGGTATTACATGTTTGTTAAGGAGAGAAGATCATCCCCTCACTCACATATGTACTAGGTTAATACAGGCCCGTTCTGACTCCACATTAGGAAGGGGCATCTAAGATTGTTTATGGGAATGGACTTTTCTTTTCTATTTAAACCTAAGAACAACGTTTTGCGCTTCCTGTTATAAAAATACCAGGTAATCCTAGAACTTTCACATCTGTTTAAAGATGACTATGACTATATTTCCCGGAATGTTGTGGGCGATCGTACCTTTCCTTGCTGATTTATCAGCTGTGTAAAGCCCCTTAATATCCTGTGGGCTACTCTGTAATGCGATACGGAAGAGCAATGCGATACGATAGCCACATACATCGTAGCCTATCGCACCGCATTTCTCTGTTTCGTATCGCATTACAGAGTAGACCCCCCCCTGGTGTACTGCCATCCATATTAGAATTCTAAGTGGGCTCTCTTTCACTTAGATACTTTCCATTGTCAATGTGTGAGTCTTAAGTTTTCAGGCTTGCCTGATTGTCAGCAAAGATTAGGCTTTCTCATTAAAGAACAAGAGTCAAAATTTTGTGCAACTTAGGAGTGTTATGATCTTTATAATAAAAATCATAATTTATGGTTAAAATTATATTTCTATTTTTCGATCAAATTTAACCGTTATTTTATGATTATTTTCAATCAAAAAAGAATTATCGTTTTTTTTCCATACATTTTTTATCATTATTTTTGGTTTTTATTATTTCGATCCTATTATAAACGTTATTTTCAGATTTAATTTTTTAGGTCATAAAAGTTCTAAAACATCTTATGGCTATCGCAACCACCATCATAATGGTTAAAAATGATCGTAAAAAATCGAAATCACAAAAAAATGATTACATTTGATTGAAAATATAAAAATCCAAATTAAGCGTTTATTTTTATTTGTATCTTGACCAAAACTTGACAAATGTGTATTTTCAAGTGCTCCAGAGTTTGCGCTTATTCGCATATACATACATATATGATCATTCTAGAAGTCTCATAACCAAACCTCCAACGGTGCCAAACCGGATGATCTCTCGCCGGCTTTTGGCTTATCCAAAATTGTATGAATGATCAGAGGCCTTCAGATATTTTGTAGCCTGGATGGAAATGAGTATCCATAATGTACCATAAGAGAGACAATCCCAATTTCTGAGAACGATGAGCAATTAATAAATTTGCTTCATTGACTACACTTTAGTTTGAAATCCACAATAAGGTTTTCTGGTGTTACGGATTTCGGCGCTATCGCCGACTTAAAAAAAAAAAGAAGCTAAATAGAGCGCTGAAAACATTAAAAGCGCCAATTGCCTGAAAAACTTGATCTGGCTTTTTAATTTTATGATATCTGATCTTACGATATCTGCTTACGACCTGTTGCCTTCGGATATATGTATGTATGTACACTAGGGTGCCCATCGAAATTTTTTTTTTTGGAAATTTCAAGACACAACCCCCTAATTTTATTCGTTTTTATGAGAAATATTATAACCAGTTTTTTTTTAGATTTTTTAAAGGTCATTTAGAGATCGCGATCTGTCGATTTAGGTCACAAAATACGATCTTGTAGATTTATGAGTTTTTGAATAACTATTATTAAGAAGAGGATATAGAGGCCTTTAAAATAATCTATTGTCAGACTTGGATTGTTGGCATTTTTCATTGGGAAAACTAAAAAAAAGATTTATTATTCTTTTTTTTTTATTTTGGCATGACTTTTCACCACAATTTCAAAATATGTAGTACTATCTAAAATAAAATCTATTTTCGAATAAACTTCATAAAAATTGTCGAAGTTAGGCAACATTTCTTAAATACCGCCTAGAATTTTGTATTGTTTATGTACCGGACTTTCAGAGTTTTTAAGCAGTGTGGCTATGAAATTCATCAATATATAAAATCGCTCTTTTGGGGTGGCACCGCCCATTTATATGATATATGCATATCTCAAAAGCTACTTGACCGATCTCGACCAAATTTAGTATACACAATGCGCTTAGCCTGCTAAAGCACCTTTTTGAATATTTTTGAAATATGTTTAGCTTTTTACCGACCGTTTTAGCTCCAAGGAAATCTATTTAATTTGTGTTTTGATTCGTCGACCAAAATAAAAATAATTTTTATTTGTGATTTGATCCGTTGACCAATCAAGAAATACAATTTGTCTGTTATTTGATTCGTTGAACAAATAAAAAATAAAATTTATGTTCTCGAAGATGGTGCTTGCTTTATATAACAAAAAAAAAGTAAGTGCGCCTGGGCCACACTGGAGAAGTGAAACTTACGTTACATACATATATATTTTGTCTCATAACCAATATACATACATACATATGTGCATACATACTAGGGATGCCAAAATATCAGGAAAATCAGGAATCACGGGATTTCGGGATATTGTTTAGGTAATCCCGGGATTCAAATTGAGTCATAAATTTTATGAGTATGAGTAAAAATTCAATATCTGATAGCATTTAAACATACCATTAAATAAAACTATTTAAAATTTACGATAAACTGATTGTAAAACTCATATATCGCTAGCATATAGTTGAAAGTTGCTAACTTCACTTTTAATGAAAAATCATATTTTGATATAGGAAGCTAGATAAATGAAAATTGCATCGTTTCGAAAAGGGTAAAGGTCCTTGTTTTTTGTTTTCTCGTTTATATTCAATGAAAGCGAAATTTGCTAGGGCCAAAAAAAGTTCCGAAAATTCAATAAGGCCAAAAAAGTTCGAAATCCTTTAATAAATATCGAATCCCTCCGATTCGTATGGAGTTTTGCTTTGCTTTAAAGAGGCAACAATTTTTTTTTCAAAGTTTTGCGAAATACTTGAAGAAATGGCTATACGAAGTTTTTTCCTATCCGGTGCAATTTTTAAATTGGGACTTAACAACTTTGCACTCTACGCT